ACAAAAAACAAAAAAAACTATGAATTATATACTAATGTAGACTATTAAAATTTATCTATTTGCATGTGTGTTTTCTCTTATGCGTGTTTTCTCTTATGCACTTTGAATATTTTAAGAACACAGACTTGCATCTTTATGTCCTTGATTTTGTAACACAAGAGTAGATACTGCAGATACGTTGAATGCCTGAATTAATAGATGAATAAATGGTAAGGTTGTCTTTTTAGAATTTCAGTTAATCAGTTTTTTCAAAAGAAGGTATGTCTTTGAGGTATTTGTGTGTGGCTCAGGCTAAATAATTGCATTCTCAGCTTCTATACATTTAGAGTTGATAGTCTGTTTTGGAAGATAATGTGTACACATGAAAAAATAAAATTATTTGACAGGTCAGTAACAGCCTCGTTAATGAGAGGGACAGATATTACTTCAGTGTCAGACTAAATGCAGTGTTCTTAGTTGGGCCATTGAATGTATATAGAGCAAATGTGTGGGTATGGCTATTGGTTAATTGGGTTGATTAACATGGATTCCAGAAGGAGACTTTCTCCTATTGTACTTAGCTTATACACATGTTATTTTTTATACAGTTTATTATAGTTCTTTTTTTTAAATTCCTTTTTAGGTTCAAGACAACTTTGACAAGATTGAATTCAATAGGATGTGTTGGACTCTCTGTGTCAAGAAAAACCTCACAAAGAGTCCCCTGCTCATTACAGAAGAAGATGCATTTAAAGTGTGGGTTATCTTCAACTTTTTGTCTGAGGACAAGTATCCATTAATTATTGTGCCAGAAGAGGTAAAGTCTTACCATCATGGAATAGATTAAGAATATTTGCATTCATTCACTGTAGATATGAAAAGATATTCATTAGTTTTTGGAATCAGAGGCAAAACAGCTTGAGTTTCGAGAAGCCCAAACATGGGGCTGGGAAGGTGGCTCAGTGGTGGAGTGCTTGCCTTGCATGCATGAGGCCTTGGGTTCAATTCCTCAGCATCATATAAACAGAAAAAGCTGGAAGTGGGGCTGATGCTCAAGTGGTAGAGTGCTAGCCTTCAGCTGAAGAGCTGAGGGACAGCGCCTAGGCCCAGCTTTCAGGCCCCACGACCGATCAAAAAAACAAAAAATAGAGAAGCCCAAACTTAGTGATTTGGGGGCATGTAATACCCTTGGAGATTGGAGAGAGAGAGTGAACCTCTTCTCTAACTTGTTGTGAGTATTGATTCAGTACAAGTTATTCAATACAAGCCACAATGTAACTTTCTACCTATTTGTGTATTAATAAAAAATGTTAAGAACTAGCTATATAGTGCTATATAGGAAATACATAGGATCCAGAAATGATGTTTTCAAGACTTTTATTATGAGTAAATAACATTATTTTTTAAAATCTAGGATGATGGCTTTTTAACTGTACTTTTCAAAGTAAATGAAAAAGGACATTGCATTTTTTGTTCTGTATTTATTTATTCCTACCTTCTAAAAGGGAAAAGGATAGAAATAAAGTTTCTGTGCTATCTTCTCTAAAAAAACATATGAAGCCTGTTGATTCCAGAGAACTGCTCTGGATTTGAATTATGATTCCATCACTGCTTAATAGCTGTATGGCCCTAGGTAAATTTATTTACATTGTTTTTGCTGCAGTTTTCTGCATTATAAAATAGGACTCATACTAATAAATCCTTTTCTTAGTTTTTTGATTATGAAGACTGCCCCTAGAAAGTGCACATTGGGTATTAGCTAAATACATTTGTGGGGAGAGTAGAACTTGTACTGGACATTGAAGAATGTGAAATATTTTGATTAATGGTGAAGTAGAGAAGATTCTGGATGGAAGAAACAGTTATAGTTACACGAAGCAGAAAAGCAAAGGGCGTCTACAATGAGTGAGGTATCTAGTTTGACTGAATTACAGTTCTTGTGCTTACTTGGAAATGGTCAAATTGACTGACGTAAGTGGAAAAAGAAACCAAAAAAAGTTGCTTTTTTTGGCAGTCTAGACCATTCAGCCTTTCTCCTAGCCCTTTCTTTCTTTTTTGGATGGGTGGGTAGAGGGGGGTCAGTTGTATGGATTGAACTCAGGGCCTAGGTACTATCCCTGAGCTTTTTTGCTCAAGGCTAGTATTCTACCACTTTGAGCCATAGCACCACTTCTGTTTTTTAGGTAGTTAATTGGAGATAAGAATCTCACTGATGGGTCTGGAAAGGTGGCTCAGTGGTAGAGTGCTTGCCTTGCATGCATGAGGCCCTGGGTTCGATTCCTCAGCACCACATAAACAGAAAAAGCCAGAAGTGGCGCTGTGGCTCTAGTGGTAGAGCTCTTGCCTTGAGCTGAAGAGGGACAGTGCCCAGGCTAAGTTCAGGTCCCATGACCCAAAAAAAAAAAAAAAGAATCTCACAGACTTTCCTGCCCAGGCTGATTTTGAACTGCGATCCTAAGATCTCAGCATCTTGAGTAGCTAGGATTACAGATATGAACCACCAGTGCCCAGCTTCTCCTAGCCCCTTTAACATTGTTTTTCAGATAAGATCTTCTGTTATTGTCTGGGGTAGGCTATGGACCTTGATCCTCCTACCTGTGCCTCCTAGGTAGCTAGAATAATGGCCTAAGTATATTTTTTGAAAGGATGCAGAGCCCCTTGTTGCCCCAAGATTTGGGTCAGAATCTACGTTCTAGGAAACCCCCCTAGTAACAATTAATATACTTACAGATTTTGGTATAATTTGGCATGTAAGTATAGAAGAACACATATCACAAAACATTTAAAAATAAAAATGTAAATATTTAATAAATATGAATTTAAATGTTAAGAAAAGAAAAGGATGCTGTGGATAGCTCACAGAATTACTATACCATGATGGCTGAGAAATTAGATGTGGAAGCCACAGCCTATCTGTACTGACCACTCCAGTGAGGAGCCATAGGAAAATGCTGTATTGCACTTGAGTTGTAGAACACGTCTGGCCTTGGACACTGGGTGCTGTCCAGGAACTCAGATTATCCCACTTTTTTTTTTTTGCTATCAAGGAAGCATTTATTTATTTATTCATTTATTTATTTATTGTTGGTTGTGGTTGTGGTGCTTGAACTCAGGGCCTGGGCACTGTCCCTCACTGTCACTGAAGGCTAGTGCTCTATCACTTCAAGCCACAGCACTACTTCCACTTTTCTGGCGATAAAGTCTCATGGACTTTCCTGCTCTGCTGGCTTCCAACCATAATCCTCAGATTTCAGCCTCTTGAGTAGCTAGGATTATAGGCATGAGTTACTGGAGCCCAACTCCATTATTTATTTTCAAGTCAAAGTCAGGCCATCATCTAACGGACAGACATGTTTTTGTTTGAAACCTAGTATCTGGGATCAGGCTGAATGATTTGAAACCCAGCTTTACCACTTGCTCGTTACCTAACAAATTACTCAGTCTCTCTGATTTTATTTCCCCACTGTAAAATGGGAATAAATAATTTCTTTTTTTCTTTTTTTTTTTTTTGGGTCTGGTTGTGAGGCCTGAACTCTGGGCCTGCGCGCAGTCCCTCAGCTCTTCAGCTCAAGGCTAGCGCACTAACCACTTGAACCACAGTGCCACTTCTGGCTTTTTTCTTTTTGCTTATGTGGTGCTGATGAATTGAACCCAGGGCCTCATGCACACAAGGCAAGCGCTCTGCCACTGAGCCACCTTCCCAGCCCGGGAATAAATACTTTCTACAGTATATTCTCAAGAGGACTTAAAAATATGTGAAGTGTTTAATTAATATAGTGCATGGAACCATGATTAGTATCCACTTAAATGGGTATGTGTGTGTTAGTGAGTGAATAAATAAATGAGAAGATGTTTGAAAAAATTTAAGTACAAGATACCTGGTGATATGTGTGGCACATTTGGCATTTTATTTATTAATTTATTTTTGTCAGTTGTGGGGCTTGAACTCTGGGCCTGGGAGCTGTCCCTGAGCTCTTCAGCTAAATTCTGGTGACTCATGTCTGTAATCCTAACCACCTTGGTGGCTGAGATCTAAAGATTGCAGTTGGAAGCCACACCAAGCAGAAAAGTCTGTGAGACTCTTATCTCCAATTAACCACCAAAATAAGCCAGAAGTGGAGCTGTGGCTCAAGTGGTACAGTACTAGTCTTTAGCAAACAGGAACAGTGCCTAGGCTCTGATTAAGCCCCAGGACCAGCACAAAAAGAAAGAAAGAAAAAAATCCAGGTGCCAGCAATTCATATCTACCACCCAAAAAAGAATTAGGGTTAATTTTATATATTATGCCCCATTGGCCAGGAGTCACTAGTGCAGATTACTGTGGAATTACTTTATCTAGTCACTGAACCAGACTCTTGAGGTTTACCACATGGTGATTACTAAGTTCTTAGCATTTTACCTGTTCTTTTTTTACCAAACACTGAAAAACCAATTGTATTGTGGAAAACATGTTTTAATAGGTTTTGCTTCCTTTCTGAATAACATGTAGCAGTTTAAGAACTGCATTATTTTTAAGAACTGCATTATTTTTAATGTATATATTTTAATAAAATATGTGAAACCCATACATTAAAATCTCAAACATACAATGCTTTAACTTGTCACGAGTATATGAATTTTTTTTTTTTGGGTCCGGTCATGGGGCCTGAACTCTGGGCTTGGGCGCTGTCCCTCAGCTCTTCAGCTCAAGGCCAGCGCTCTACCACTTGAGCCACAGCACCACTTCCGAGTATATGAATTTTTTATTGTTATCATAAGGATGAACTACAGAGGGATTACAATGACATGAGTCAGGTAATAAGTACATTTCCTTTTGTATAGTGTCTTCTGTTCCCTCACTCTCTACCAGTGAGTATACAAGTTTAACTTTTAATTTTGTCAACAGATTTTAAGCCTCATAAGTTCAAAGCATTTTTTATATATTGCCAGTAGTCCACCTACAACTTTTTTTCTCCATCTTCAGTTACTTCTATAGAACAGTGACAGTCAAATGAAAAATACAAGAGGTACACAAAAGTTTGCACTTGATTTCATTTTCCATTGCTGAGAAAGAAGTATGAAGAAGGTTAAATGTCTAAATCTCTTACATAGTAAAATCAAGGTATTTCTGTCACAGATGACAATAGTGTATACCCATTTTAGTTGGTTCCACAATTTTTTTCTGATGCTGTTTCTGTAAATGTGTGTCTGTATAGTTTCTACATAGCATTCATTTCCCATTGAACGAAACAGGATGTATTTGCTGTGGATTTCTTTTGACACAATGAAAATCAAAATCATTTTATGAGCCCTAAATGAAATAAAACATGAATTGTTGCTAAATGAATAAATGCCCCTTTTAATGATGACAAAAAAAGAGCTTTTTACAATATAAATTTTTAACTGAAGGCCTGGAAAAATCACATGCAGCTTGAAGGTTTATTCTTAGTTATTTTTGGTGAAACTTGTTTAGAAGGAGGAAGTAAGCTGCTTCCTGAAATTGAATGCGCTTTCAGAATTGATATGGGCCATTGGGCCACTAGGGAGTAATGGGGCATCAGGAGACGAGGATAGCAGCCTGCGATCATGGTATATCATTTAGTATAACTGGATACTGGAGAATGGGAATGTCTCTCCATGGCCCAGTATAATGAGTCTAAAGGACCTTACATTGTTTGTGGAGATTGTGTTGAAAAATCACCTGGAATCAGCCTAAATTAGTTGTTTAGCAGTCACTGAAAGTACTGAGAAGATTGGTTCTGGGAGCTGATGATAGGGTTTGGGGGTTACCTTTTAGGAACATTCGAGTGAACCTGAGAGGCTGCTTTGAAAGCTGAGTTGGTTACTGATAGACCTCTGATTGTATACATGGCATATGATCTGATATTGAAGAAGAAACTGGAGCTGGAATAAGAGGGTCTTAACCTTATTTGCAGTGGTAGGTGACTTGTATGGATGTTCATCAGCTGCACCATCTTGGCACCTCACTTGTAGTCCTTCATCCTGTATGACATGGGCGACACATGCATGCTTCCTTTGACCTTACGAAGACTTCTGTGGGCATATAGTCCACAATCTGCCAGCCTGGGTCCTTCTATTTGTGGCCCTGAGTGAGCTTAAACTTCTGTATATATTAATGCCACTAAGTTATTTTATTTTGAACAATTATCTTTTGGGGGGGGATGTGGGGGTACCTGGTGCTAGGCCTTGAACTCAAGGCCTTGCCCTCTTGCTTAGCTTTTTTTGCTCAAGGCTGACAGCACCTGAGCCATACCTCCATTTTCATCTTTTTGTGGTTAATTAGAGATTAGAGTCTCAGGATTTTTCTGTCTAGGCTGGCTTCAAACTTCAATCCTTGAAGTTGGGCGCCGGTGGCTCACGCCTGTAATCCTAGATATTCAGGAGGCTGAGATCTGAGGATCGTGGTTCAAAGCCAGC